TAAACTGACATACCTTAAATGCAACAAAGTTAAATGTAAATTTACAGTGAGGAAACATTTGCAAACATCTGCAATAAAACTATGATAAAATAATATAAATAGCACATTAACAAACATCCAAAATACTGTAAATGTGAAAGCTAAAATTCCCATTTCTGAAAATCATTATAGTCCTCTTTTTTCTTTTTTTTTTTCCTTTTTTTTTCCCCAGTATGAATAAGATACTTTAGAATGATGAAGCTCTCCAGGTATTAGGCAGTTTTGTTTCAAGTGCATGACCTAGGATTCTATTAATGATCAGTTCTGACCCCTACACCTCCCCGCAGACTCCTAGAGATAATGAGAAGAGCAGGGAATTATTGATCAAAACTAATGTGGCTTCTTTGTGGATCCTCAGTTTCTGTGTTAAACAAAATCAATCAATGCCAACTGAAAATCAAGTTAGTCATAACGTATGAACAAATTATACCAACTAAGATTCTATAGAAAATAATATTGTTACAATGCTTGCAAAAGAATTAAAACTTTATTAAAACTTTGAAAAGTAAAAAAAAAAAAAAAAAAAAAGACTGATTCACAACATAAATTGTCTGAACACTTTGAATTCAGTTACCTGAGCTCCAGCTATTCCAAATTTAGGAATTTTGGATATCAGGATCAACGTCCTCGGATTTTTCATAGCACTTTGTAGACATAAAAGTTGCCAGAACTCAAATCCAGAGCATGAGAATCTTCTAATCACAGAATTCAGGTAAGCAAATTAAAGATTGCCATCCTAATTTTCCCAAGCAATTAAACCACTTCTCTCATACCACTTTTCCTCTCATCAACTGCTTCTATTTTCTGGAGAAAATTACTGTTTATTTTTGAGCTATAAATATATATTGGACAGAATTACTGGAATCTATTGAATATTTAAATGTTCATCCCACTCTTCTCAGGTTAATATACTTGTATTCTATGAAACGTTTCAGCATGACAAATTTTATTTTCAGACAGATACAATTCTTGTGAAAGAACACAAAGCATGGGTGCACGTGTACACACACTGTTATCAAAGACTTCTTGTCACGTGCTTTAAAACAAGTTTCAATTAGCAAAGGTACTGGACAAAAACGGAGAATAATTGCTATCTTCCAGTCTCTCACAGGTTCCAGCTTAAAAAACTGATGAAGCTTGACTGACACACAGGGAAATTACTCCGGTGATAAACCAGATGCTATGTTGAAATATAATATCTTATCAAAGTAATGCAATTGAGGTCATTGCTATGGAATTTGATCTCAAAAAAGGGACTAGAGAATGTTAGTTGTAAATAATAATAATATAACTAAAAGTGCAGGCAAACGACTGTCATAATATCACAAAACCTACATTCATGAATAAAAATTACATCACAACCAAACATACCAAATATACATTATGACTCTGTGGGTCTAGGAATGAAGCAATCAACACTAAATCAAGCTTGAAATCAGGGTGAATATTGATGCCATTTTTTCAGATTACATTAGCAATCTGCCATACTTAAAGACTGCTAGAAAAAAATAAAGAGTAAATCAGCACTCTCCATCATAGGGAAACATTTCGAGATCTCTGTTCTTCATGCTCTGCTCAGACCACGCCCTAAACACTGCATTTTCATTTTTAAGAATTCCAGTTTTATCTGTCTGACATATACTGTCTTTCATGTCTTAGGAAAAGACCTTAGCTGATGTAGCAGTGGAAATCTGAGTGGATTCTGGTAATGAACTCAGAACTTACTCTAAGATCTACGTTGACAAGTGCAATCTCAGACAATGCTTGCGAGGTTTAAGAGCCCTTAAATGACTTACTCTTTTTACTGCAATAATTGACACTTGCATTTCAGAGCTCCAGGAAATATACAGCATAACTGAATATATTCTAAGGCGCTTCTCTCCATTAGACAATGAAGAAATGGTAGCCAGGTACAACATGATGCATTTTAAGGTTGTAAAAATTAATAGCTTTGGTACTGGATCTTCAAAACACTCTCTTGCCAGAAGCTGTAACACAATTGTTAGCTAATATTTTCATGGTAGTAGGTTAGTAGGTCACACTTAATATGCCTGCTTCCTTCACAAATGACTTTGCATTAGCTATTAAAGGTCTAAGGTCTAATTCTGCTACCTTTACTTCAGAAATAATCTCATTAAAATCAAGACTATATATAGAATAAAACTAAAAGAACCAAATCTTTGGAAAGCAAACTGGCATGAAAAAAACCCCACTGCCCAACAACATTTTTTTCTTTTTGATAGCAGAAATGAAATCTCAAATAGCAATTATGTTCTTAACATCAACTATAATATAAATAAAGAAAATTTGCAAAAGCACACTCTATGTCCTATTTAAGAAAGCTCAGAGAAGGATTTATTTGTTTCTTTGAAAAATGAGATTTATAAGAAAAAAGTGAATGGAAAGTCTGCTAGACAGAAGATTTCCATAGGTGAAAAAAAAACTTCTTTATTGTAATTAAAAAAAAAAAAAGTTTGGTTGTTGCATTCCTAAACCAGCAGTATGTGACTTAATATCAGAGACAAAATTAGCTTTTCTCAGACATAATTTTATGTAGATTTCATGTTCTGTCCAGAAGAAAGCATTCAGTATCTGTGTTTGAAACACTTTATTCTAGAAATGAATACAAACAGTACGGAAAAATTCAGTGTGTATTCTTTAAATTATGAACCTGGTAAATTCACAGATGGATACTTGTTAGTCAATGGCCAATTTATCTGCTGGCTTTATTTGCAAGCAGAAGATTAGAGACAAGATAAAGTGCTCGTTTATGCTTTCCTATATAATGGTGTTTATAGTATGTAAAACTACTTTTTTAACTTCATTCACAAATAAAACCTACAGATCAAAGATTTGGCTTGTGCCTTCTTTTTAATTTGGGAACTTGATATACAGTTCTAGGTATCATTAACCTTTTTGAGCATTGATTACAAAACATCCCTAACAGTGTCCAGGAAAGCAAAGTAGCATGTCCTAAACATCTTGTAGTTACCATTCTCAGCAAATGGCTCAACATCCTAACTATAAACATTTCACAAAATAATAAAGAACCATGTTATTAGATCTTACTAGAACTATGTAGAAAAGCTTTAAAAAATGAATGATAATGCTTGGACATATAAGTTAATGGGAAGCTCTATTTTTCAACTGATGAACTTCCCACATATTTTTCAAATGTGGAGTATGACATAAATAGCCCTCTCTGACTACACAATACCGAACCATAGACCCTGTCATCCAGTTCTCTCTTTTCATAAAATGATCAAGTACATTGAAAGCAAAAGCAGAGTTTGAAATAGCCCTTCTTCATGAGTTCCCAATAAAATAATTTTTTTTTTTTTTTAAATTAAACTACCTCAAACCTTCCACACTTGGAAACTAAGCTAATATAGCAATTGGAGGATGAGGTGTAGTGATGTCTTCTTACTGACACGTACATTCTAGCTATCTAAAGTCTCATCACCACACATGTCTCAAGGCAAGGCAGAGAAATGGTGAGTATCAGAATGTGATACACCTGATTTATCTTAGGCACTTAGGATGAGATAAATTACTCTGAGAAGGTGCCTTTTGCTCTCCATTGGGTGTAAAGAAAAACTGTAGTTACTAGATTAGACAACTAACTTCGGATACGCAAGTTACAGCAAATGAGTCTCATCATAGGCTGTAACTGACTGAGGAAAAACTGTGTTTAGTTCCCACCAGATGATGCAAACCTGATATTTTCCCTTAGAACTTTGCTGTTTTAAAATGGGAAACATATGTTGAATATTTTAATTGCTAACAAGTATTTTTGCGAAAGTTACAACTATAAATGACACAATAAAATCATTCCTTTCTTAAGCAATTAAGTCTTATGATCTTACAGTAAAACAGGAAAGAAGAGAATTAGTGGATATAGTATCACATTACGGAAGAGACAGCTAAGAAACTGTCTTATAGAGTACCAAAAACAGTGAAAGGAAAATGCAAAAATAGAATGTGCATGATGTTCTATATTTAGGTTTGTGGGTAGGCTCTGAAATCTCCTTTGAGCTGTCTTCTTTGATAGTCACTGGTAAGACTGAATTCCGAGGCAACAGTAGGGTGTTCTCAGAAATATTCTTATTTGAGGGCTCAAACCAGTCAGTATTCAAAGGCAATCTGTGAATTTATTATAGTTGTATACATAAGCATCTTCTTTTTACTTTTGTTAACTGAGTCTAGATCAAAACATACCATTTTGCATCTTTTTTTCAGTATGTTTTAAATTTTATTTTTAATATGAATGCTTGCTAATAGCCTTGCACTGGCAGACCTGTCTTGAAGATTGTCCCATTGTTAATGTCTTACTTAGCTGTAACACAGAAATTCATTTGTCTCAAAAAATGATTTCAAAGTGAAATATTTTCATACCTCCCTGTACGTCAGCAGTTTTCCAGCTGCATGCTATTACTGCATCTGCAGTGAATCATACAGAATCATCATTTTAAGGAGAGAAGGAATGCTGGACATGTGAGGTACACTCAGATACTATATTCCAACTACAGTATCAGTGTTTTCTTCAACAACATTAACTATCACACAGGAGCAGTCACATTAGCTTCCCAGTGGCATAAAACCTTTGAGTCTCTTTTGCAGTCGTTTTTTAACATTATAAGGAATAAAAAGTAGGGGAAAAAATGAATGCCATTTTACTGCTGATCCTATCATCACATGCAAAATATAATAGCACCATGCCCTTAACATTCAAGTGCATATCAAGCTAAAACAAAAGTGAAAATTCCAATTAAAAAATTGTAACTGAAATTTCTATACTATTAATCAATAATACCCTTCTGAGGAATTTCAATGGTATCGCCATTGGTAGTTGGGACACGTGAAAATTTCTTCTATAGAGCTTTTATTTTTTTATGAGACACTACCAGTTTACACCACTCTTGTATTGGCAGAAACTGATTGAATAGATCTTTGCTTCTTACCATCAACACAGGCTGGCCTTGCTCTTGTTGTACCGGCAATCTGTCCTTTTTTACATGCACAGCGAGCTGTTTGTCGGGCTATAGTCCTTCGGGGCTGACTGCTATCTCTGTCCAAAGTAACAATCTCACATGTACCTGCAGCCAGTTGACCTGGAAAAAGAACCAGCAACAGGTACCAGAGTCACTGAATGCACTACAGGCAATCTATTACAGCCGAATAGAGTCACGGCCCTATGTCACAGCAGACACTCCACAACAAATGGGCAGCCAGCTGATGGATATAATAAAACTGAGATGACATACAATTTTTCTTTGTGGTGGACATATGAAAACCCTGCAAACTGGCTCTGTCAGAAAATTATTATTGTTCCATAAAAGCCAGAGAGCTGAGGTCACACGGGTTACTTTTACTTATGTCGGCTAAGTAAAGGAACAATCTGCTTTTACAGCAATGAAATTTAAATGGCGTGCGCTTTACATACTTCCAGAAAAGAAATGATAAAGTATATGGAAAACAAAAAACTTCCCCACATGTCCATGAATAATGAAGTCTTAACTGCTTTGCATGTTGTTTTTGAAAGAAAAAGTCTTTCAAAGTATGCCCATGTTTGACCAGGTTGTCAGTCCTTTGGCTCTTGCTTCATCTAAACCGAACAGTAGTTTATTCTCTACCTGACTCATACTTGAAGTAGCTGGTCTTTTTTCTTTTACTAAATTTACTATGTAACCATGCTGCAAATGATAGTAAAATGACGCTGCCCCGTTAGCTCAGTAACATTGTTTGCTTTTTATTGACTTCTCCAATATATGTAGCTTTTCCTGAATACTAAGGAAATCTACACCGCCTAATTCTGAATTTGGACCATGCTATGAGAGGCAAAGCAAAAAGTTGCAAAAAATTCTTTTATGAGGAACATTAGTCTGAAGTAAATGTTATACATTTAAAGTGATGCACTTCTTCTGGTGCAACCAATAGTAGACTACTAGTATACCAAAATACTACCTTTTACAAGCAAGAAAGATATATTATTGAATTTCAATGCATAGTAAGACTGAAAAAAAGTCCCAGCTATCACTTTGTATTACATATAATTTCTGGATTTTATGGCAGAGTAGTAAATATAATTTCTATTGGATTTTGTCTTTGTAGGCAATCGATTATAAACCTTCAACTGAATATGTGCAAAAATATATCTTCAAATCACAAGCTTACTATATTTTGTTTTCATAAAAAAATAAGATTGGAACAAATGCAATATTGTATCTATAAAAAAGTTATGCAGTTTAGATAATATTAACAGTAAATTATTTTTATGCTGTTGAAATATTGAAAAAGAACGAGACAAAAAGCAGAAATTTAAATTTATATTAACATCAAAATTAAAAAAAAAAACACAACCCCCCCTGAAACATACATGAATGGCATTTAATTCAAGTCTAAAAGTGTAATGATATTTCTGTATACTGCATTGTTTCCATTCAGAATACAAGTTTACCCAGTATATTCTTCTCAGAACCAGCTTACGATGCTTCCTGTTGTGTGGATACTGTTTTGAAACTGCCGGAATAGCAAAACATTGTAGGCTGTCAACAGCATTGTGACTGGTTCACTGCTAAGCCACCTAAATTGTATGTTGCTGTGACTCCTACACTGCAGTGAATTACAACATGGTAAAACTGAGTATCTCAAAGATGAATATGGAGCAAAGTACTCTACAAATTCATGCAAATATATGTAAGTAATATACATTAGGCATTTATAAATACAGATATGATATTCACGATAGTGAACACTATCGCCATAGTGTTTAATGGCTGCTGGCAACTAGACTTAATGAGCTATGGTCAATCCTGCGTTTCTACTCTTTTCCACCCACTCTGTTAATAAAAATGTCTTAGGATAAACATACTGATGAGAGGATTTTTATGTATTATATGCTGTTTTTTCCTTTGTTCCCTCCAAAATCTTGGGTTAGAAAGCAAAGGTTTAGTAAGAAAGATAGTGGCACATGAGTTTCCAGGTAGGGACAAGGGAAATCCAACTACACTGAAACATCTTGAACCAAAAAAAAAAGCATTCTTTTTTCCCCCATTGCTAATATAATTCATTCTGGGTTGCAGGAGATGTATTGCTCCCAAGGAATACAGCTGTCTTAGTAGATCATGTAAAAAAGACATAATCAGAGGTGTATTTAGATCTTGACCCCTTAGGCATTTGAACATCATGATTATGGTCCTGCATTGAGAATAGAAATTGAATGGAAACCAAAGAAAAAGTGGAAGCATAAATATGATATGTGTACATGTTCCTGAGAGTATGGGTTGCCATATTCTTCCCTATCTGTAAGTCTTTATACTATTGTTACTTTCATTAAAAGATATGGTAAATCATATAATCTAGGCGGATCATTATATAAAACCCCATTTCAGAGGAAAGGAACCAGTTTAACAGCACAGTGAAGATGAGTAAGGACTATACTCAGAGAAAAAGAACAATGAAGCTTTATGTCAAGATAATTTGTGAAAGCAAAAAGCTTTCCAGGGAATGCAAGCAGTGACTATTGATAAGAATGCCTATAGATAATATTTTCTTCTTTTGGACCTGTCCAGTTTTAGTTCTGCATAGGTTCATTTTGAGCCAGCTGGGCTATTTGTTTTTTATGACTGTTTTCAGCTGTTCATTTTGTTTAGAGATGATAATTTCTTCCAGGCATAGTGACCTCATTTTTTTGATGAACTTCAAAAACTGGGATACTTAAATGAGAGATAATACAAAGATAACGTCACACTGCCTTTCAAGGAATTTTGTGCAGCTATTAAAAATAAGGGAAAATTGGAAAGATTTTTAAAACATTTCATAGAATTTTAATTTTTTTTTAGAGATCATTTCTCTGTTGCCATTCTTGTTTCTATAGCAGAAGAAAATTAAAGAGTTATTGTAGAGCTGCAGCAGCTCTTCCCACATATATGACATAAATAGTTCTTGGTCATTGTGTCACAGGGTGCAAAGATTGCAGGTATATTGAGCACTGCAACATCGTGTACATCCACTGTTACTTGGCTTTAGATGGCTGTAAAGCATGAAAAGTATTAGTTAAGGTTATGGAGGCCCATCTCCAGAGAGAGAGTCAGCCTGTTGTAAAGCATGTCCTCTCTGTCTCTCATTAAGTAGAGGGTAAGTCTACAGGAGTACCTTACTTAGATGACATGTATGCTACTTTTGCTTTTTAACAATTTAATCTAGAAATGTAAGGTACAAAATGATGGAACAAGAGGAATACACTTCTTGTAAGTACCGAGTTTCAAGAATTGGGATACCTTTCATTTTCAGGGAAGCTGACATAGTGACCACTTTCAAAAATACTAATGAAAACAGGCCATTCATCTCTGAGCCTCTGAACACTCTCCACTTCACTCCTAAGCACAGAGAAGAAATCTCAAGGCAGCAATAGGTGGAGTTTCACT